CAAATAAAATAGGGTTTACATAATATTGAAGAGCAAATTTGGATAAAAAAAATCATCATATATTTTTCTTCTATTTTAAATCTCTAAAATCATGGACCTTCTCTCTCATATGTTAAACCCCCCCCCCCCTTCTCTCTCTATCTTTTATGGTCGTATACAAACATGAGATGAGTGAAGGCAAGAGTGTGATCATATGTAGAAAAAATCGACCAAAGAAGAATTGCCGTTGCCTTTCTTCCTCTTTCTTTGGATCTTCTCCTTGGCAAATCTCTCTGTTGATGATTCATCCACACCCAACGAAAAATCAATCTTCTTCATTAAAACTTTGTAAACCTAATCGATTATCACAAAAATGTCAACTAAAGGTAGGTTTTCAACAAAAATTCTTCTCCTTATAGTTGTTCTTGAAACAAAATCATATATTGTCGTCGGTAACAATATTCAATTATTCATCTTTTTAAAATTTGATTTTCTGAGTTTTATGCACATGTGCATAGGTTTATCCATCTTTAGAATATTGGTGCTTTTGGGTTTAATGCACATATGCATAGGTAACAAGTTTAAATTACTCTTTTTCTGAGTTTTATGGATATTTGCATAGATAACTATATTCAATCAACTATCTTTTAAAAATATGTTTTCCTACGTTTTATGCACAATGTGCGTAAGTAACAGTATTCAAATATTCATATCTTTGGGTTTTATGCACATGTGCATGTGCAATAATATTAAGTTACTTTTTAATGGATATTATTTTGCATGGGCATATGTAACGGTATCTAATCATTCATCTTTTGAAAATATGTGTTTATGGTTTTTATATACATATGCATATGTAATAGTTTTAAATGATTTATCTTTTGAATCCATTTGTAGCCTAGAAAAATGAAGACGATGAATATGATGACTTATTCACATGTACATACTGTCCAGAAAATGAAAGACGACGAATGAGGTGACTTAGTCATATGTGCAACAACCCAAAAATGAAGAACACGAATAATTGGTTGTGACATATTTTTCTGAAGATTTTTTTTTTGGTGAATTATGAAATAGGTTTTTGTTTGTAAATTTCGTTTACCTGTATATTTTTCTAACGATAATAGAAGATTTCAATTTTTTTGGTAATCCACTTCATATAAGAGATTGTATTTATGTCAATTGAATATCCAATGTTAGTGTGTACCAAAATACCCTTTTGTTGTAAAAATAATGCAATTTATGTTAAGTCACTAATGATTACAAGAGCGTATCTCCATTTTTTACTTTGTTTTTATGGTTTTTTTTCTTAAACTTAACCCTATACACATGTGTGCATCTGTATGGTGGTAATGATAAAAACTCTATATATTATAAAAACAGTGAAATCCAACAATTCAATTATCTATACTTACTATATTATAAAACATTTGACTAAAACTCTTAAAAATTCTTAAACACTTAAAACTCTTAAACTCATTCATCCCTAAACAATTTCATCCATATCCGATTTCATCTCATAACTGAATTTGTGTAACTAACTGCAGATAAACACAATCAAATATAGGATAAACATCTCATTTTAAATATAAAAAATCTAAAATATAATTAGGATAATCATTGAGTTCTAACAAAATACTTAATTATTATCTTTATAAAATGTTATATTATTAAACCAAAAATAAATTATTTCATTATTAAACTTAAATTAAATTATAAGACCATCCACATCCCTGCAATCCATTTACACTTTCAATTGTGCCACATCAGCTTTTGCAATTATCTTCCACACACCTGCAATTCACCTACTATACTTTCAACTGTGTCACGTCAGCTTTTGCAATTACCACCTACACACCTGCAATTCACCTCCACTTTCAAAAGTGGTCCCCACTACAACATTTATTAACTTTTTTATAAATTATTTATATATACATTCTAATTATTTTTTATGAAAATAACATGTTTTATTTTAATTCAATG